CACCCCATCGTACTCGACGAGGCCCACACCATTATCATTTGACAACTCCTCGGCGCCGTCAAGAACGAACTTAGAAAATATAGATAAATTTTCTTTGTAATTTTTCTGTAAACAATTTATTTTTTTAATTATTTATTTACTTTGTATTTTTAAAATATAAATAAATTTATTTTTCTTTTATTTTTAATTTTTTTAAATTTTATTTGGTCGGACTTGTCATCTCGAGGTGACGAGTTCCAAAATGACCATTGCCCATTTGCCCATTAACCAACAGCTAGCAAACAACTAGTTTTATTTTAATTTGAAGGAATGTAACCCCCTAGACCCGACCTGGACATTAGGCTCGAAGCTAGGTGGTCACATATCGCATTCAGAATTTTTTTCATATTTAAAACAACGTTAAAATCCATAAGAAGATTCTTATGATAAACATATATGTATACATATGTCAGAAAAATGTATAAAACATATACATATCAAAATACATAGAAAACCGTATAAAACATTTACGGAACAAAATATCAGTTATACACATATATCAAGAAGGTAGCAAAACATATGTCACCAAATTATAACTGAAAGACATATAGAGATATACAGTAGTACAAAAGTAGGAGTAGTCGATCCTCCTGATGCCAAGTCTGCTAGTCTAGTATGCTATTATCTGAAAATGTTAAAATTTACGGAATGAGCTAAAAACTCAGTGTACTCTTTATGGTGTATAAAAACATACAGATAAAATATTTCAGTAAAATTGGTTTATCAAACATGTTTTAAAAACATGAACACTACCCTCGTCCAATCACCAGAATGTGTAGGTTCCCAGAACCATACACCCACCTGTACACCAAGTAAGGGCTTAACCTGTGCACAAAGCAGAGAAGCCTGCAGTAAGGACATACCTTGTGCACAAAGCCGAGGAGCATGCGGTAAGGACTTAACATGAGCACAAAGCCGAGGAGCCTGCGGAAAGCGATAAGGTCTTACAAGTCATAAACTAGGCCTGAGATACTTCCTCCAACTATAACATCCCAAACTATGGGTTAGTGACTAAATTGTAAAATTTTAGAATTTGGTGATTAAAGGGGAAAATTTGAAAAGTTCAATGATTTATTTGAAAATAATATCTGAAGGATTATTGGTAATTATTAAAAGAATTAAATGGAAAAATGGTCATTTGACTTGAAATGATATATAGGTATGTGGGGATAAAGATGAGGAGATATTTTCTCCATTTCATCTTCTTATTCTTCATGTACGAGAGAAAGAGAGAGCCAAGCTTGCAAAGGTAAGTTTGCAAATTAGTTGATTTAAAGGTTGGGTTTTGATCATTAGATGATAACTAAGCTTAAGGAAAGCTTAAGTTATCTTAAAATCAAAAGATGAATAAGTTATGAAAGATTAAAGAAAATGGGTTTTTAAGTGAATTTTGGAAGAGATTTGATAAGTTGAATTTGAAACTAAATGTGAGTTGTCATCAACTTAATTAAGAGATATGAAGTGATAGAATTGGATTTAGAGCATCTTGAAAATTTATTATGATTATTGATTTCCATATGGAAGATGAAATTTTAAAGTTAAAGGTGTATTGAATAAGTAGAAATTAATTTAAGTATATGTACTTGAGTTAAGAATAGAAAAGGGAATGAAATATGAAGAATTTTAATGAAGAGTTATGGGATTTTTGGGAAAAATCAGTTTATAATTGGCAGGTGCATCGATGCACTATGAGTGTGTACCGATGCACTAAGACAAAATTTGAAGGTGCATCGATGCATTAAGGGGTGCATCGATGCATGGAAATTTTGAAGCTATTTTGTGTATCGATGCACCCATAATGCATCGATACACCCCTAAAGGAAAAATGGAATTTTAGTTCATTAAATTAGCCTAAGTTATTAATACCAAGTTATAAGGTTTAGGCTTCTGAAAATCGTCTTGAAATTATGTTTATGTAGATATTGAGCCTAAACAAATTCTGGAACAATCAAAGAATTAGGATCGAATCAAAGCAAGGCAAAGGTGAGTACAATTTATTTTGTACTTAGGTTATTGAATGAACATTGGCTTGCGATGAGTCAATGATGGAGTTACTATGGTAAGAAGTAACTTTTAAAATGTTATGTGATTATTATGTGATGTATTGGAAACATATGAGAACAAGAGATGACATGATTTGTATGATGTATGAATTCATGAGTAAAGGTATATGTGAATATAATTTGTATGATTATACGTTATATGCATCATTATACATGAGTTATGTCTGATGGGTTATTCTATGTGCTAGGTGATATATGAGCATATGAGATTAAGTGAATGAATATAGATGATATATATATGATGAAATAAGAATAAGACATGAATTACATGAAAGAAAACTATGTGATTATATGCACATGTGATATGTGATCATAAGAGCAATGATATAAGTACATGAATATTTGAAGCAAAAGAAAAATGCCCATGTTATATAATACGAGAGCTAGTGGTATAGTTGGCATGCCAAGAGTTGAGGGTTTCATAGGTCCTTCGGGACAATACAGTGGTCCTTCGGGACAAATTTCATATGCCACTCAGTGGGACTTATACGAGCTGTGGTGACAACATTAGTGCACAACCTCAATGTACTCACATACCTTCAGTTCTCACCAGTGTATCATGGGCTAATAAAGAGATATTATCAAATACAGTATATAAATGATATATATGTGTTCCATGATGTATATGGAAATGTTCAATATATGCTTATATGATAAAAAGGAATTTAGTGATAATAATATGTTCATGATAAATGTATGTGTGCATTGGTTATATAATGGAGATATGCTTTTATATGATGTGATAGTATTTTTCGATGTATGCCTTTTATTTATATGAAATGGTATATAGTTATACTATATGTTTTATATGCCTCACTAAGTCATCGACTTAGCGTGTGATGGTTTCACATGTAGGTTTGGAAAGCGAAAAAGAGAAGATTGATAAAGAGTTATGCAAGACAGGTCAGTTCTGCTTTCCAAAGATCAGATCAATAAAGAGGTTAATAGTATGTATTTTGTAATACTGATAGTAGTTGGCATTTAAACAGAGATTTGAATCCGATATATTTTAAGCGGTTTTGTAAAATCACATAATTGAGTTTTTTTAATGTTTCAAATGTGTATATGTAAATAGAAATTTTATACGGATGAAAGGTTATATTTTTTATATGAATTTATATGTATTTTTACAAAGTTACTGTAGCAGTACTGTAGCATTTATATTCGAAATTTTTCACTGTTCATGGTATTGTTCATACGGTATTGTTCACTGTTCATACCGTATTTTACTGTTCATAAAATGTATATTTTCTATATTGGTTATAACAAATATGATTCAACAATATATTATCGTATTTTCTTAAAAAGAATTCAAATATTTGGATATTTTGTAAGAATATCGTTTTTAAAAGTCAATGTGATATCTCGGACTCGTATTCGGGTCGGATACGGGTTAGGGTGTTACACCAACAATACCCCCAATGACAGTAATAATATGTATATATTCGAGTGAAAACGATAATTAATCCATTAAAACATGAAAATGTTTCATGCTTGGAAATCATATACAGAAATATGGTAATCAGAAATCAAATCAGTAATATACGATAAATCAGATGTCGGATAAGCAATATTAAGAAATCAGGTGTCGAATAAGCAGTATTCAGAAATCAGGTATCATATCGTAAAAATATTCAGAATTATCACAAATCTGAAACAGTTCAAATGGACTTTCCCCACTCTCAAGGGTGGCGCACGGGGGAGCGTGTAGGGCCGTAGAGGGTCGGAAAAATTCCGAAAAAAATTCATATAGCTATTTTAAGGGGTTTGGAGACACTTATCAAACTTGGTTCACAACGGTGATCAGCAGAGAGCTCGATTTTAAAACGTCAGAAGCTTGATATTCCTCATCCCCTCACACGTCGGCAACAACAGAGATAATAAGGATACCGGTGGACTCGGGACGAGGCAAGGAACACGATGGTATGAGAAGTGTCGTAAACGGAGCAACGGTCAGTGACGAAATGACGATCAAAGATTTCTTTCTATAAAAAGAAAATATTGAAGAGAGAGAAAAATAATTAATTTCCCCATAATTGGGGTATATAAACCCTTAAAAAAGAAAATAAAAAAATCACACTATAGGTCCTTCACCTTTAGTTACTTTCTGAATTTGGATCTAAATTTAATCAAAATTTTACTTGTCCCCAAAATTAATCAAAATTCAATTTAATCCTCGATACATTTTTAAGAGAATTTTAGGCCTTGTTTTAGAGTATGACAACTCGTCACCTCAAGTTCCTCTATTTTTTAAAATTTAAATATTATAATTTTATATAGTATTGTAAAAATAATAATTTTTAATAGAGGTGACAAGTCATATTAACGACAATAAAATAATGACCCACGTGAAACCCACTACTCGAGGACCATTAAAAAAATAATATCCTAGGGAACTCGTCACCTCGAAGTGTCGAGTTCCACTGTATCATTTGCCGTATTTCCCAAAATAAAATTAGACCAGCCTAATACCTTAATTAATTAATTAACCCGCTTGGGTATTGGGGGAAAAAAACCTCGTTCCAACCTTCTGTCGTCTTCTTAATCGATTTCCTTGAATTCTGTCTTGTTTGAATTATCTCAATTTTCTCACTATGCCATCCGGTTCTCGCAGTGCTTTTGGTTTTCTTCTTCATTAGACTCTGTAATTTAAAGGATATGGATAAAAGAGGTTTTCAAAATGGGTATTTTCACAAATCTGCCTGCAGGCTTGTATAGTGAACAACTATGGCTTTTCAGCTAGGGGTTGATGATCATCAAGATCAAACCATCCATGCCCTGCGACTACCAACTAAAGAAAAGAAATGGTAAAGACGTTGTTTGAAAAATAAATTTATCTGAATGAATATTCTGTCATACAAGTGTTTTAAATGTAACAAAATGTGGCCCGTAAAAATCGAAATTGACGAACATTAAAACCAAACGGTCATAATGATACATAGGTAGTAATAGCAAGTGAAATATATCCGACAGCAAATGCCTTCACCTTTCATGAGATGATCAGAGTATCCCTTTTACATTTACTGATCATCTCCAGGTGTTGTAGGTTGCCCAGAAGATTTATCAGTGGCCACACTAGCTTTCTTACTCCCCGGTCCTGAAGAAACTTTAACCATCGCTGGTCTTAACAGCCGCCCCCCAAGGAGGAATCCACGACGAAATTCTTGAGTGATAATCCCTTCTTTGAACTCTAGAGACTCTTCTCGTGCTATGGCTTCATGTAGCTGTATCCGATAAGTGAGACCAGATGAATCAATAACAGAAATGACTAGGAATATCTTATCACTACAAAGTCCAAAAGCTACAAGTTTATTGTTCAACCGAATTTCTGGATAGTATATGTCTTTTTTCCAGAAAGAATACGCCTAAATCAAGAATGTATTCCGAAGACCTAACTAATGACAACTATACTGGATGATCCAGACTAGAAAACTACAGCTAAAGGGTATATGTACTACCAAGCATTGTAAACTTCTCATTCATGATCTAGAACAACCCCTAATATGGACTCGTCCTCTGAATCCTAGAGGCATGCTTTTGCTGCTGACATCCCCACTTCAGAAGTCGAAAGCATTTTCAAGCTATCATAGGAACCTAGGAGTAGCACAAACACACAATATAGTTTCCGAATGAGATGTGACTAACATAACAAACCCCATCACATGCAAGCTTCAAGGATTATCAGGCTATGGGCTTAGAAACTTAAAAGAAAATTTGAAAAAAAAATACAAAACTAGCAATTGAACCAACGTGTTTACTTGACTGGATATTTGGTTACTATAGTACATATTCTCAGAAACATTCATACAATTAACCAAATCATGTGTGTGTACATAATATATCCCAGTATGCTACACTTGCAATATGTTTTCTAGTGTGACTGAATCAGATGAAACCCTATAGATGGCTAACAGAAAAAAAGCAAGCATTATGAATAGCATTAAAACACTTACAGAGGGGTCAAAGGGCTTTCCAACTGTTGGGACAACAGCTACTTGCAAACTCCTCATGATCTCCACAAATTGCTTGTATATACCCTGATAACTCGTATCTATCTTCTTTTCTTTATCTGTTTCCGGTTTTATTTGTTGCTTGGCTCTCTCAAAACTGTCAACCATGAGCAAAAGACTCTTGATCACTTCGCCTTGAGCATCAGATCTCGTCGTAACTCTCTCCTTCTCCGATCTTTTTCGATAATTATCAAAATCAGCTTGCAAACGGATATACTTCTCTTTCCCGGAGGTTATCTCTGCTGATAATTCCAAAACTCGTTTTTCCAATCCATTCTTTTCATTTTCTAAAATGCTTATTCTATTCTCAATCTCAGCTACAACCCTATCATCTCCATTAAGAAGAGCCTCCTTGTAAACTCTAATCATGGCCTTTAAATTGCCTCCCGGTGTTTTTATATTTTCCTGATAAATTTCCTTAATGAAATTATTACCATTACATACAATTAAACAGTAATAAGCAACTCTAATAAATTCAATTGCCATCTCCAACTAATTTTCTTCTACTTCGTAATAGTAAAAACTGGAAAATTCTACAAATCCTTTTTTTCCCCTATCCAAAGTTACGACTCAGCTCACAAGAAGTATAATGAAAAGAAAACAAACAACCCAAGAGGGGGGGGGGGCTGAACTTACAGTGCGAGCAGATTCCTGGGCAGAAAGAGAAGCATTGAAAGTCGTCCTATTGGGACACTTTGTGCTGTTCATAGGGAAGGAAAGATTAGACGGAGAAACCCCAGAAAATGGTTTTGGAAAACGAAGCTTTTGGCAGGGAAATTGAACGCGTAATAAAGATGATTTGGTGTGGCTTGAGGGTTTTAAAGAAGAAACTGAGAAGTGAGGAGACAACACAGAGTGATTAGAGAATGAAGCGGCCATTTGCTTGTAATATTGATAACACTAAGTTTGTGTTAACAGATTTTAGTCGAAGATAAGGGGTCCTTGTCGGCCGACTGCCCAACGCCGTTAGTGGAGGATTTCTTCCTCTGCTCCTATGTTTTGAAGAAACAAACTCCCAATGGGATTAAACTATTCTCGAACATTCTCAAATTTTACTGCCTCCTTTTTCTGAATAAAAAAAAATCTTTACTATAATTAACCTCGGGAATTTATATTTTTATTTTATATAAAATTCATAGTAATAGAATTTCTTTTTAATTTCAGAGAAGTTTAATTAGACATAAATTGAAGACCGAGTACAACAGAAATTCTTCAAGATTAACATATTAATTCAAGATGGTAACTGATAACCGCATCAATCAAAAATTCTTTTAAGATCAGATGTGAAATCAAGCATCACAAAGTAATTTAATTAAAACTTCTGTAAAAAGCATTTAGATGCGAAAAATAATCAATCTAATATATAATTTATTAACCTTAATTAAGACTTGTATATTATAATTCTCCTCACCGCTTCTCTATCTTTGCCTTCCAAACAAAATAGAATATTTAAAAACTAAAATCGAAATATTTTAGTTAAAATTTTAGAAATTAAAAATAAATAATACATATAAATCTTGATTAAACAACAAAAATAAAAAATTGATTAAAGACTTCTTAAAGTGTCACGTAATTGGATGAAGATATAATTAAATGGCGAAATCGATAAAAAAAATTCTTGAAGTGCAATATTGTTAGACGGATGTATAATTTCTTTTTCAAGTATTCTTATGTGATCTCGTGATGATATTTGTTATAATTTAACTTTGAATAAATCCATGCGTAAATAATTTTGTTTGAACTCGGATCACTTAAGGAAACTTGTCACTCTTTATCATTGAGATTATCATTTAAGTTTTGAAGTAAATATAAATTGAGTGTTTAAATTAATAAAAAAAATCTTGAAGATTCACATTGTTACGACCTGTTGACAGTGCTTTTGAAAATTAATTTTAAAAGGTTGTAAAAAAACTTTTAAAAGTTTTGTTTAAAATTTGAATGTTTTAAGATTATTGTTAAAAAATGAGTTTAAAAAAATAAAATGTTCATTATAGATATTTTGTTAAATTAAAATATAAAATTTAAATTATATTTACAATATTGTGATGTATAAAAATATAAACTTAAACTATAATAAAAATATAAAAATATTTTAAGATAATTTATTAATAATATTTTTATAATGAAATATTTTATTAAGAAAAATATATTATCAAACTTTTTAACATGTGATATAAAATCATTACGAAATAATAATTTAAATACTTGTTTTGATAAAAAGAATATTACAAAAATATACATTAGTACTTGTAAACTAAAGTGAATTTATTAAACTAGAAGATATGATATCTCTCATTAATTCCATTTGATAACGAGAAAGAATGTTTAGTTATTCCAATTCAACATCAATCACTCATTTAAAACTTAAAATAACATAATTTAAATGATATATTTGTCCTTTTTAACCATTCAAAAATTAAAAATATATATTATAAATAAATTTTAAAAGAAATTATTATTATATATGAAATATATCAATTTAAAATATAAAAAATATAAAATACAAATAAAAATATATAATTATAATGAAAATATATTTTATAATAACTCATTATTAATATTTTAATATATAATATTATTTACTTTTAAAAAGTTAAAATAATTTATTAAGTAATAAATTATTTTTTAAGGATGCTATTATTAAATTATTAAAATAAAATGCAAATACATAATTGAGTGAAACCCATGCATTATAATTTGCTCCCAAACGCAAAGTTGAACATGAAAAGTCTAAAAATCATAGCTTTTACGATTGGTTTGAAACCACTATTTTCACTGTAATTTATTTTTTTATTTTTCACTCCTTTGACATTGATTTTGCGATCAAAATGAACTTTTAAATTAAAAGTTTTGTTAGAAAATCACACCAAACGTTACCTTAGATAAAATACAATTAAGTGGTTAAAAATTGTATTAATCACTCTATTCTTAAAGAAAACATTTTTCTATACATTGGTGATATTCGAGTTTTAACATTAACTATATATATATACAGTAAGAATGAGACCGAAAAATATGAACTTACATAAGTCCTTTTAAAAACTTAATTTGTATAAAAAATTATTACATATTTTATTACACTAGGATAAAATTTAATAAAACAATAACGAGTTATTTTTAGAAATATATTAATAATAAGTTTACAAAAAAAAATTAAATTAGAGATGATAAAGTAAAATTGAATAATTTTTTTTACCGAGGATAGGCAAATCAAATCGAGCATAGAAAACAAACGTTTAGTAAAAAAAATACTATGAAGTGACATGAAACACATATGTATATAATTCAAACTGATCATTGCCTTTATGACTAGTATTTTCTTCTTACTCGTTGAAAATCTATAAACGAATCAGAGTTTTTTACGAAGTTCAATTAACCATAACAAGCCAAACCTCAATCAAAGAGTTCATAAGTTCATCCCTACACGTAAAACCCAAAGGCAGCACAAACCAGAGAGCAAACCTTCAGAAACAACACCATCTAGCACATCACGCGGGTCGGTCTCAAATTGATAACAACTTTGTCAAGAAGAAATCCAGTAGACCAAGATCCTGATTCCAGCTTATATACCGCATTTTTAAAATATATTATTGTCTAATAATAAAGAAACTGGAAACGGGTATCATATTGAGCCAAGGCCAATTCAGTTCATGCAGGAGTACCAAAAAAACAATGCTTTATAACTCGAGAAAAACATAAGAAACTCAAACACAATGTGACAAACTAGATTCAATTCGAAGATTTCAGCAACAAGGAACAAAGTCGGATGAACCAACCCGGAATACCAGACTCAAAACAGAACAAAAACCATGAAAACCAAAAGCACAACAGAGAGCACATCGCTCACCGTATTTTATTCAAATTACACAACCAAGTGCTGAACACTGAAACTTATATAGCCACGGTAGAGAAACTTATTGCTACTTCAAATATTATCTTCCATAAAAGTACAATATATGCTGCTATATATTGAGCTTCAGAATCATTCATCATCGGACTCGGCATTCTGCAGCCATTCAATGAAAGGCTCGACATTCTTCCAGATTGGAGAGCTCTTATTACCACCGGTCACACCCTTCTGGTACCATTCCATTATGAACTCTTCTTCCACGATGTCATTGTCATACAGCGTTTTAAGAACCAAAGCCACCTCCTTCACCGCATCGAGGCTTGCATTGCCACAAAAAGTCTCGATAGAATTGAGGAGCACCATTTGACATCCCTCCTCTTTAGCTGCTGCTGCTGCAAGGTAGTTCTTCTTTTTCATTGCTTCCTTTGCAAACCCCTTACCGACATTATGAAAGAGTGCAGTAAGAAGGGCATCCATGATTTCTTGGGAGCTCCCAGAGAGTGAACCCAGGAAGGACTGAAGCTGAGTAGCGGATGACCCCTTGTTCAGGTATTTCTTCATCTTATCTACTAGTTTCTCATGGGCACTGATACCATTTTCATGTGCCTTAACCTCTTGCTCCGGCGACTTCTTCCCTGATTTCTTTTCTTCATTGGTAGAAAGCATTACCATATCAGCTGTAACAGCACTCAACTGCTCTTGAATACGCTGTTGAGCAGCTGCCAGTGAAGTATCTGTTTGCCACTGCACGTCGTCGTCGTCGTCATCGACACGCTGTTCATTCTCATCAGCCTGGCTGTGTGCCGGGGGAGTGATCCTCGTCAGAATGTTTGCTTTTCTTCTTGGTTACTACACCTTTGACGTGAGCAGTAGCCTTTGAAGCAGTGGACGAACCTTTCTTTTTTGCTTCTTTTTTGTTCTTCTTCAGCTCTTCATCAGCAGCCTCACCCTCCTTGAGTCTTTCCTTCTCAGCCCTCCTCATTGCCTTCTTGTCTTTCGACGACTTCTTCGACTCAGGTGGGTTTTTAAGAATGAAAGTTGTAAGCTTATCTCTCATGTCGACATCGGAAACAAACCCACATGCAGCACATTTCAGGGTAATCATCTGCGTCTTGGTAATAATTATCTCAGTTTCAGGGTTCCCACAGCCATAGCACTGAACATACTTCTTGATGAAGTTCTCAAGAAGCCCTGCAAGTTTGGCAGTGTCATGGGCCCCATTTACAAGAGATGTTCCAGTCTTCTCATCGAACTTGGATTGGGCTCCCAGTTCACAACCAAAATATTTTGTAGTGTAAGAAGCAGGTCTAGTCAAAGCCTTTGCAATTTCGACCATGTTAACCACATTAGTCTTGATTCCATTTCCTCTCCCTTCAATCTTAGTTATCATTTTGGGCATCTTATACCTATAAAAGGCATCATCACTGTTTGAAGCACCAATATTTTGCAAAGCCATCTTGATCAAGCTGTGGGAGACTGTTAATCAGAAAGGACAGATCAGATACTGGTGTTCTCAATTGTGGCGAGAGATCCTTTACTAGGCAACCTCCTTGCTCTTGGAAGATGTTGCATAAAACGGAAACCCAAACCGTGTGTGTGATTGGCCTCAATATGCATGCAGCTAATTCCAGAAGAGGAACTTCTAGTCTTTTTTCTGGATGCGGGACAATACTCTCCGAGCAATCCAATTGATGACAAAGAGGTCCGTTCAGACATAAAAGACAACTCAAAAGTAACAAGCTCCACTTTGACAATCTGCAAGCACAGCAGATTAAACTGTCAACTTCCTAAAAGAATGGAGTTTATTCAGACAAAAGTCAAAGTAGAATATATCAATAACTGGCGGCAAAAAATAAAATGAAGAATGAAAATACAAACAATCAACATCAGGAGAACATGAAATTGCTACATCAATAAAATAAACCTTGTGGAAAAAATATAACACTACAAAAAATAATATCTTAAAAGCTTACAACATATTCAAATATATTAGATAATCAAAACTTCGGATACTAATTAAAACCAAGATTAAATTAAAATTAAAATGTAAATAAAATAATGCATACAATTTGTTAAGGGTGAAATAAAGAAACAAAATTAAACAGATCATTTAAAGTAAATAAAAAATTCCCACTTCTAAATCTCTTATCACACTAAAG